CCGATGGACTCAAAGAGAACCGGGTCCAGGTCTGATGGACTCAAACAGAACTTGGTCCAGGTCCGATGGACTCACACAGAACCGGGCTCAGGTCCGATGGACTCAAACAGAACTTGGTCCAGGTCCGATGGACTCACACAGAACCGGGCTCAGGTCCGATGGACTCAAACAGAACTTGGTCCAGGTCCGATGGACTCAAAGAGAACCGGGTCCAGGTCTGATGGACTCAAACAGAACTTGGTCCAGGTCCGATGGACTCAAAGAGAACTGGGTCCAGGTCCGATGGACTCAAAGAGAACCGGGTCCAGGTCCGATGGACTCAAAGAGAACCGGGTTCAGGTCCGATGGACTCAAACAGAACTGGGTCCAGGTCCGATGGACTCACACAGAACCGGGTCCAGGTCCGATGCACTTACACACAACCGGGCTCAGGTCTGATGGACTCACACTGAACCGGGTCCAGGTCTGATGGACTCACAAAGAACCGGTCCATGTTGGATCTCCACGTCTCTTTACAGACCTGGTCCATTTCATCCACAGGAACCCGTTAGATGTTGGTTCTTTAGCAGAGTCCAGCCCCTCTCAGGAGATCCAGTATGGCCCGGTTCTGGAGTGGTTCTGCTCAGCTCTTCACATGCATGAAGCGACAGCAGAGAGGAACACCTCCCTCCAACAGGAAGGAACCTCAGAACCAGTGAACTCCACTCTCAGAGGTTCTGCAGAACCTCCAGGCAGCGCCACCACTGGACCTCCATGTCTGTTTACGTTGAGGACCGTTGGTCGTTGCCATGGTGACCATGCTCTATGACTGCAGCAGGTAGAACCAGAACATCCATCAACAGTGCTGGGTCCAAACCAGCAGCATCCAACGACCCGACCCGTGTTCTGATCCGGTCAGTTACCATCTGATCATTAGAGAGGAGAGCTCCACTTAACAGGAAGAACCAGAACCAGAACCGGGCCCAATGTGTCTGGATTAAAACCAGACCAACAGAGCGGCCGAAGAACTACAGAACCACACAGAGGGTCCAGTGGGTCACACCGTATGGACCAGAACTACCCGGTTCTGTTCTGTTCTAACTGCATCCTGCAGCTCAAGCAGCGATAAAGACCCTCCCCCACTCTTCCTCCTCTGAATGGGCCTGAGCGTCAGAGAGCGGGACTCTGAGGTGCCTGGAGCGCCGCCCTGATGGAGCGCCGCCCTGATGGAGCGCCGCCCTGATGGAGCGCCGCCCTGATGGAGCGCCGCGCTGATGGAGCGCCGCCCTGATGGAGCGCCGC